CGGCTGCAACAACGCCGGCATTCGCCGCTGCTCCGCCGCCATTTATCAAGCTAAACGCGAGGTGCACCGCATAATGTTCACGCCGAGGTTCTCCACCCTCGGCCCTTGAGTGGAGACGCCTGCATTGCATACTGTGCTCATGTATCGCCACAGAAATTCGTGTGCTCGCGCGTACATCTGCACACTAGTGTACACACGCAGACATACCTTCCCAGAAACGCTCGAATTACGGACGATTAAACGCTGACCGATCGGAATCGCTACCTGACCGTTGCTCTCTGCTTTCACGATCGCTCATCCATTGTAGTACTAACATTAAAGGATGACTCGATACATTTAACGTGAATAAACATTTTAGAATTATTTGTAAAATAGTTTTGCTTTCCTTCTTTCGAACGTGAGATTGAAAGTAGATGATTTATGGATGATTCTTTAAATCTTTCTTTTTTGTTTCCTATTAGTGGTAATATATTGTGACGAAATATTATTTTAATTGTAGCCTTAAGTTTGGTTTCTGGTTCAATATCGTTGATTATGTTTGATCCGTCAATATTTATCGATTATTAATAGACTATCTGCTTCAACATCATCCAAAGATTCATAAATATTTAAGAAATTATGTCTCCATACGACTTTCTCTTAAGGAATTATCGAAATAAAAATAAAAAACATACGAAAAGAATTGACAAGAACAAACAAGTAGAAATTAAAATTTAATTTCCTTCGATACGAAAGTGCATTATACATCTGTATACCGATAGTACCTGATAGATTGATATCGTGGTATACTCCATTTCGAATTAATTCCGGAGCTAATTAACAGCTAGTCGTGGGTTAAGATTTGATTTATGAAATTACGAAATATTAAATGGTCATAAATCATTAATATTACTATACTATTTTACTGGATGTAGTCGTACTTCAGTTTCGGATAAACTCGTTAGCTCTTGATACCTGTTAACCGCGTTTAGGAATAATTTATGACTATGGAAATTCATGTCCCTCGAAATTATATCTTTGTTACGATGGCTAAAAGGACGACGCGACGCGATAAAGTGCGCCGTGGTGCAATACAAAAGCTCGTGGCGTTATAAAATATTACGTTACGATAAGGCGCTATTATTCTCGTTTCATCGCGTTAGATATAATGTTACATCACTGGCATAAATTAATGAATGGCTATCGTTTGTTATTTAGTAATATTTTATTCTAAGAAAGACGTCCTGGAAATAACTGACATTATTCTTCATTATCATTATCGTACGAACAATATGTTGAAGAGAAAATACAGAAAATTATCCATAAAATTTCACCACGTCGGAAAATTTTTCATCCCTATAATCTTCGTCAATTTCGTTCGTTGATAAAATTCTAATTGCGATAATTGCAGTCGAGTATTGGCATCGCTGTATTTTGCGATAATTTAATAGCAAAAAGGAGCTTACTTCTCCTTCAATACAAGAGAACGTACCAAAAGGAAAGGTGTAGATCAAATAGTGATGTCGAAATAAAATGACTGCGCGACATGCAACGGAAATTTATCGATATTTCCATCCGCGTTCCCCTTTTTACGAATATCACGAATAGTTTCCATGAATACGAAACGAAACAATATCTGCCGTGCAAGTCCAGCACCCTGTCCCTTCTTTCAGTGTCGGGAAAATCTGCTTTAATTGAGAACTAAATCTGTTTTACTCGAAGCTAAATGAAAATATTTGCTTTTTGACGTTGAACTCCTAACAAACATCGTTATTTTACTTGCTCGGAAAGTATAAATATATACATATATATACATATCGTCGTGCAAAGAGGCACGTGTATATATACATATATGCATGTAATGCATGTGTACAGAAAGAAAGAGCCGTTGCAAAAGGAGAATCAGAAGAAGCAGGCGACCATGAAAAGACGTCTCTGCCCAAAGGAAAGGATATATATCTCGGACTTCTTCATTTAACGACGCGATGGTCAGTTCTCGCAGTATTCGCCACGATTCACAAGCGTTGGAATAAAAATTCATAGGATTTTGCTGGTCTGAATTATGAATGCGAACGTTTTAATCATTGCCACGACAGTGGCGGAGAAATGGTCGGGTCACAATTATATAAACTACCGTGTATCATACAAATGCATCTAAACTTTTGTGCCCGTGTAATTTCCAGGTTATACGGGAAACAAGCAACCGGTGTAGATTATATTGAAAGCGTTCGTGGCTCGGTATTGTTATTTCCATGGTCGTGCCGGTGACACTAAAAATAACGTTTATTTCTGCCGGCGATAAATACCGAAGGAAAAGCTCGGACGGGAAACCGGCGAAAGGAAAAAGGAAAATATACGAAAGGACAGTTGCTTGGATAAACAAAGATAATACCCGAGCCCGACCTTATTGATCGTTTCTCGTTAACGCGACACTAACCGTCTACTACTTATTTTCGTAAACGGTCGTAGAAGCTTCCACATCGTTCAGCGTGCAACGTGTGCGCACGATCAGCTAACGCGAAGAACCATTTCGCGAAAATAGAAACGAAAATACGGATCTGCACGGAGGAGAGAAATTTTGACAGTGATTCATGCCTGCGTGTAACCTATTTCTATTCGATTCGCTATCGAAATATTCTGCTTTTCTTTCCGATATTTTTTATTTCTCAACCCTTTTTTTCATACCGTCTACTTTTTCCTTTTTTATTAAAAGAAGTTAAAACGAAGGGTAAGCGACCCAGATTAAAAGTGAACTGGGAACGAAAAAGATTCGAAAATGTGTTTTACATCGTACAAAGGGAGCGTAGATAAAGATGGGAAAAAAAGAACGTAGGAAAATGAGAAGACGTCTGTCCATAAAGAGAAGGATAGTACTCGTCTTGCTTTAACGACCATAGCTACATCACGCTCGCCACGTCATTTATTCCCCGAGAAATGAAGATATCGCTAAAGAAATATGTACATATTTGTCTTTTGTCACGGCCTGAAAAATAATCACAAATAGTGTTGGCAAGCTGCGGGAACCATAGCCAGTTGACTATTACTCTGTCGTCGTGCACAACAGGGAATAACGAACGCGAGACAGATTTTAACGATCGTTTTTCTACGTTTGTGTCTTCCTGAAAATTCATTTCAATAGATTTATAGCAGGAAATTAAAGATGATTTATAATTAATCAAAACTATTTAAACATAAAAAATAACTGAATAGAATACCAGTGGTTTTATAATTTTATATTTCATTGTCTTCAAACTAAAAAACATTTATCTAAGTAGTTTATTATTTATACTGTGTATATTCTGAAAATTGTTTTCTAACCGCTCGTAACTTTGAATCTCATTAAATTAGCTGCTTAAAATGATTTCTTCTCATAGAAATTATTATGCGGAAAATAACAAATAATAAATTACTATCTTAGAGAACTATCTTAGAGAATATATTCGGAAATAAGATATTAAACCACGTAAACTACGATTGCAAAATATTTTTGATTATTACTTTTGTTACGATAACCAAAAGCTAATTACAGGTTTGATCTTATTACGTGTATCTGACATAAAGAACGGTGTATCAGATGATGCGACGCATGAGATCGATAATGCATTAACTGTACCCGGGGGGTGTGTGCAATTTCATACCGCGTTAATTGACGATTAATTTCAAATTTGCAATTTGGAACTTATAACTCCAACTTCTATTTCATTATCGTGCATGTTAGGACGTGTGCAAAATCGATGAATTATTTTTGCTCAACAAAAAGATACATATCTCGTCATTCATCAAAACACGTAAAACTTCCAACCATGACTTTTAAAAAATATACCAAGCAATGTTCATTTTTATAATAACAGTAAAACTAAGTATTTTTCAAAAGAATCGCTTCTATAATACGATTCTTATACTTCATTTTTCTTAGGACCAAAAAGACCAAAAAGGCTGATTATTAGAGATTAGTAAATTGGAAAAACGAATTCTGTTTATTTCTAAATTGTTTCTATATTATCCTTTATATGCATACAGCGATATCCAACATATTTTAGTTGAAAGAAAATTTATTTGAGACCGTAAACAAGCTGAGAACCAATAATCAACGTATTCGAAAATTTCAGGTAATGGAAGCGTACAGCAATTTAATCTTGATATTTTTGCTGTATACGTTTGCCTGAAATGTATGGCTATTTATGAACGAGCAAGATTTCAATTTACAACTTCCATAATCATAATAAAAAGACGTGAACGTGGTCTAGAAACGTAATTTGCATCGGTATGCATCACGTAATTCGCGATGAATTTTCTCTCGACGTTTATGAGTAACGTTGAAAGAAATGTTATTACGAGTTTGGAGTAAAAAGACATTGACAAGCTTTATTTCATTCCGACGAAAATCTAGGAAATATCTTCAAGTTAGTTTCAATTTATATGACTTTTCGACAATTGAAAGATTATATTATTATTAATTTATTTAAGAGA